ATCACCATTGGTTATCATTACATTACCATTAGTTACCATTATATCACCATTGGTTATCATTACATTACCATTAGTTACCATTATATCACCATTGGTTATCATTATATTGCCATTGGCTATCAATATATCACCATTCGTTTTCGTTATACGTATTGCCATTGATTATCAATATATCACCACTGGTTATTGTTATATTGCCATTAGTTTACCATCCATCCATCCATCCATTATCTTCCACTTGTTCTGAAGTCGGGTCGCAGTGGCAGCAGCTTAAGCAGGGAGGCCCAGACATCTCTTTCCACAGCCACCTCTTCCGGTGCTTCTGGGAGGATTCCAAGGCGTTCCCAGGCCAACCGAGAGACATAGTCTCTCCAACGTGTCCTGGGTCTTCCCCGGGGTCTCCTCCCAGTTGGATATCCCCAAAGCACCTCCCTAGGGAGGCGTCCAGGGGGCATCCTTACCAGATGCTCGAACCACCTCAACTGGCTCCTCTCGATGTGGAGGAGCAGCGGTTCTACTCCGAGTCTCTCCTGGATAGTTTACCATTATATTGCTATTAGTTACCATTAGTTACCATCTTAAAATCTTAATTAGGAAGCCCAACTGTTAGTTAATGATTAAAAACCCATCATGGATCTGACAAATAGCAGATTTCAGCAGAAAAACAGCCTCTGTCAGTTGTTTGTATTGTTTTTTTCCAAACCATAATGTTTATGTTTTTGTACACATTTAAGTCACAGTAAATATTTTTTTATTTGAATGTACTCATTTGAGTATTTTCTGTTTATATCACTACATGGTGAATTGACTCCAAGGTACCTAGAACCAGTGAAGAGGGATCTTTAAACTTCCTAAAATCTAACTAATGTAGCTGAACGGACCCCAGATTGTTAGCATTAGCTTTATTCAAGCTTTATTCAAGGGGCAGTGGTAAGGTTTTACTTCTCTGAGAAATAATTAACCTTCTAAGTGTATTTTCAAATATTCTTAAAGACAAAATATTCCCTTTCAGCACCATTTCTTACAAGCTTCTTTAACTGAAATTGTAGAAGGATCAAAACCATCAAGGTATATGAAATATTTTATGATGCTGAAAGACAAACGTCTAGTCCTCCAGATGGTTGAGTTATCTCATTATGCTGTAATGACTGTCAGACCTCCTTCAATCTTGGACAGTCAACCTTTAGGTTGATTTTCTCTCTCTCTACAAAGATAAAATCAGACATGTAAAAACAAAAAGAAGAGATGGAGCTGAGCTTTTTAATTTCAACCCACTCTCAGGTTACATCAGAGCGTAGTGATCCAAAAACTGGACTAGATCCAGATTAGATTCGGCCCAGTTTCTTCTAAAGTTTCTCCTGCAGACTTTCTGTTTTCTTTTATATTTTCATACTTAGAAAAAAAACAAAAAAAAACAGTCCATAAATTTTAACGTTTGGTGTTTAAACTTCAGACTTTAGAAGTGGGTTATAACCAGTTTCAGTCACAGTGCCTCTCCTGCTGCAGTCAACAGCTCATTGACGGAGGACAGGAAGCTTCCTGGTGTGTTTGGTGGCGTCCATGTTGAGGAGCAGCTTCATGGTTGGTAATGGCATGAGTCCTGCACCCAGAACCCTGCTCATGCTGTGTGCTTCTGTTGCTCTGCATGGTTTGGGGGTGTTTTGGGTCCAGAAGCAGATCTGTAAAGGGACCAGGGAAAACACTGGCCGCCGGCTTTAAGGTTCTGGCCAAAGGCTCGAGCTGTGGAAACTATGAGCTCCCCTGATAGTTGGCTTGTGTTGAAGAACCTCGCTCTGCAGAGCTTTGTGCTTTTCTTTCACCACAGAAATTTGAGGAATAAACTGCTTCTAATGAGCCTACGATGAACCCAGTGTCTGCCGCTAAGCCCGTTGGGTTCTTCTGCTTCGGCCCGTGCTCTCTGCTTGTGTCTGCTGCAGGAAAACGGCGTGTTTGGAACCGTCAGCATGGCGTGCACTGAACAGTTTTCATGGGATTGTGGAAACCGCCGTTTGCTTCATATTTCAGGACTGTTTGTGTGTGAAAAGAAGAAGAAGAAAAAAACAAAAACGTCACGCCAATATTTATTCCACTTCGTCTCGTTCTGTAATCAGAAGAACCGGGCTGTAATTACAGCACACTTTCCATTATGGAACTCCGTGGAGAACGTTTATTGGTTTTGTTGGCAAAGCGTCTAATTCAAGTCCAAGACAAATAAACGAAGAAAGTATAAAAGTTCTTAGAAGCAGAAACAACTGAAGCGATCTCCAAATACCATCATCTTCACGTGTCTCTGAGTTCAAGGAATGTCTCCGAATTGTTACAAGCTAAAACGTTGCGGGACTCCATCATCCTTCATGTTTGTGGTTTTGCATTTATTCTATTTAGTTCTGGACCCAGGTCAGGTCCCTGATTGTAAGGAATTTTGGCTGGAAGGATGGGGGTGGGAGAGGGGGGGTAATTGGCTGCAGGTTCTGGTCCTCAGAGTCAAACACACGCAGTTTTATGAATTTCTGCAGGACTTGTTCATGTTTTAAAGTTTGTTTCTGTGTTTGGAAATGACTACAGAGCTTCTGCCTTCAGCAGAGAATAAGATTTTCCAGGAGATTAGAGAAAACGGATCTAAAGTGGCTGTTAAAGCTCAACTCTTGGTTTTATTTAGACACAACGCACCCACAGGCCAACACAATGCATGAATCTGATTTACAGAAATCATTTCTGCCACGTACCACTTCAAAAAGTTCTGAAAGCACATGAACCTATTTGACCACTGTTCCCTATTAAATAGGAGTTTTTCTGATGGAAACCATCTTTAGTTGCTTTTGAAGAAAGTCACAGACGCAGAAATGGTTCTGCGAAGTGAAAAGTTTTAAATCTTTGTTGCTTATGTTGGTTTCAGGATCCCCGGCCCGTCCTGTGGTCAACATGAAGCCGAACGATGTACGAAAGCTTGGAGAGACCGGTGAGAACTGAACTAGAGCTAGGGAATGCTGCGTGTTTCTTTAAGCATGCCTAAACACCGGATTTATTTTTGTTTGTTTGTTTGTTTGTTTTAGACAAGTTGAATCGCATTGAAAAGAATGGAAAATCAGATTTCCTTCCTCGTAAAATCCCAGCAGCAACCGCCAAGCCGACCAAACAGGAGCGAAGAAAGACCACAACCATAGCTCCGACGGCTGCCGGTAACTAAACACGATACAGACAAAACCATCATTCATTCATGCATTCATTCATTCAACCTTTATTTAAACAGATAAATCACATCAAGCCTCAAAGACTCTTTTACAAGTGAGACCTGTTTGGACAGACAATACGTGGTGAAAGTGACAACATAGGTTTTGGAGGTTAAGAATGCACTTAATATTTGGCTGAAGATTAAAAGCATGAAAATGAAAAAAAAAAAAAGTGCACACAAGCACATAATGATGCCGACATTCTACGGGGGGAGGGGGGGGCACAAGGGTGGTGAACATGTCCAGAGACGACACACAGAGGCACTGCAAGAGTTCTGATAAGAGTGGTAAATCACTCGGTTCGCATATTTTCCTCTGGAGAGATCCGTACACTCTCGGGAGGTGCTGAGGACGACGTCAGATAGAATCCAAAGAGTTCTGAAATGATGACAGAATGTTTATTCAGCCGAGCCCCTCTGATTGGTCCGTAGACTTCCTTAGTGTGTGTGTGTGTGTGTGTGTGTGTGGTTTTTTTTTTGGGGGG